CCCCGGAGCAAGAATGTAGTTATACTCCGGTACAGATACAGACTGGGCTCGTTGCGGTGACGGATCAAGGTACCGCCCTAGAGCGGCAAATCAGCGCTTGCTGGGCTACCGGCCGTTCGTTGGCTCAGAGTGCGAGCCAGGGTGCCGCCTAAAATAGAGACCCCCGGAGAGATGAGCGACGAAGAATAGGTAGACGAGAGCGAGCGAGCGGTAGTCGGCGGCGAGACGCTGGATCTCTAAGGTTGTTCATGGTGCGGCGGCTGCAACTCCCAGGGTTCTGCCATTACTGATTTTCAAATCCCATGGATGATGGGGGGCGACGGCCGCCAGGGAATAAGGTGAAGTCGGTGGCACCTGGTGACCGAACGGCGGGCCTCCGTTCGAGGTTCAAGGGCCCCCGGCAGGCGGCATCGTCCCCCGCGGGCAGGATTGCAAGGTCGGTGAGGAGGTCATCTCTCAAGTCTTGTCACCGTGAGCTAAGAGGGTAGCAGACGACGTGCATGAACACTCTGAACGCCGAGAGATGGCTTTGAGAGTGGGTTCGACGGGGGCGGCGAGATCCATCAACATGGAATAGCTTCCCCCTCTCTGGCTTTGAGAACTTGAACCTGAACCAATGTTGCTTTCTCACGTCGGAGTGGGATGAGCAGCATGGAATCGATAGGGAGGGGGTGCGCTGTAATCGGCTCCGCGGGCAAATTATATCTCGCTTCTCCATATGCAAGAAGCATGTCCCTCTGTCCACTTCCCCTCTCTCTGGTATATTGCGAGAGTTACAGTGTTCGCCGCAGACTGCCTAGGTCGAAAAAGGACCCTCTCTCCTGCTGTAAGGTGAGGCAAAAGTTTAATGACTAAAGCGATGATGGCGGCGAGTATGGAGGGGCAGGAGAAGAGGAGGAGGGGGAGAAAAAATAAAGCCACGCGAATGCAGACCGTTAGATGGCCGAAAACGGACAACGACGGCGACACCACCGAGAGGGGTGTGAGGACGGTGAATACCTAGGTCTGTATGCATTGAAAAGACCGTGAATGCGTGGTGAGGTCAGGTAAGGTCAGGTACCTCCAATGAAGGGGGACAGGAGGCTGTCGGAGGGTTTGAAGAAGACGTTGGAGTGGTTGATTTTGTGTATTCTGTGTCGTGCTGTTGTTCCGTACCTTGGTTGCTGGATGGATGGTGGGCGTGGGGAAACGAGACGAACGTGACCTCGGTTGTTGTCGAGTATCCGCCGTACGAGGTGAGCGGTAATTACAAGTTGTTGTAGCCGTCGTCGATGTCGATGTCCCCATCGTCTCCAGTTCGTATGTTGTTGGTTGTCGGAGGAGGAGGAGGACGACGTGGTGGTGGAGAGTAGGAGACGTAGATACATGGGTACTTGCACAATCACGTAAGTTCAGTACGTATCTTGGGTACTCGCAGTGGGAAAGAGCGACCTGGAGGCAGTAAAGTACATACCCAAGGTACCTGAGAGAGCATCAGTACGTACTCCGCACCACGGACATGACATGACGGGTACGGATACCTTGGACGTGGGTTGGTGATGTGGGTGCCGGTGCATCAGTACGGATCCATGGAGACCTTTGGCAGCAGCAGCAGCAGCAGCAATAACATGTAGTAGCAGCAAGCAGACATACCTACAACAAGTAAGGACAAGCAGCAGCAGCAGCAGCAGCAGCAGCAGCAGCAGCAGGCAGGCAGGCAGACGCAGCGCAACGGCTGGCTGGTGCAAGCGGGCGCGCGCGAAAACGCACAAGTTGCAACTAGGCCGGGCCAAAGCAAGCGCAGGCCCTTGGGACGCAGACCACACCATGCAATGATGAGCTGGCAGTGCCGCTCGACGGTGTTGCTTTGATGAACCTGGAAGGTAATCCAAGGGAAATCAGGAAACCAAGCCCGGCGAGACCTCGATCCAAAAGGCAGGGTGCTCTCTCTTGCCATGCACTGGCCTTTTTTTCTGCTTTCCACACCCCTCGCCCATCTTTGCCGTCTCTCTTTCTCTCTTTTTTTCTCTCTCGATCTCTCTTCGTGTGTGTGCATGTGTGCGTGTGTGCGTGTGTGTGTATGTGGGAATGTGTGTGTCTCTCTCCCAGTAACCCACCCTGATATCTCAGGTATTTCTGCCTCTGCCTCGAGTCTTGTAAGCCAATTGGCAAATACACCCTTCGTAAAGGCTGGGAAATCGAAGTGAGAGAGAGGCAGGTACTGTGGTACCTGGCCGTTCGCAACCGCGATCTGTCAATGCAGGTGAGAAAAGCAGAGTCAGATAAGGTCATGCGCGCAGAGGTCGAGCAACGGCCAGATTGCCGCGGGCCAACTCTTTTCTTGTTATTGATGACTTGTCGTAAGGTAGCTTGTAGCTTGTAGCTCGTTGTTGCTGCTGCTACGGAGTAGTGATACTGCTGCTTGGTTCTCCACGGAGCATGGGGAGCCGTCAAGGAAGATGAGAAGCAAAGAGGAGGTTGGCGGCGTGCAGCTTGCAGCTTGCCGCAAGGGGTCGTGTCAGTCAGCGAATCGCCCGTGGCTTCCTTCCCGAATCAATCTGGAAGCACCATGGAAGGCGCCAACGATGTCATTCACTCACTCCTCTCACCATTGACTTTTACACTCAATCATTCATTCGCTCACTCTCACTCACATCCGTTACTCTCGCTCACTCGCCATGTCATTCATCTCATCTACCTCATCTACAAAGCCACTCACAACCATCGCTCGATTGCGGCAGGCATCTCACCACCTCACCTATTTCAACATGAGCAGGTGATGTCCGCCCAGCGCCGATTGCCTTACCTCCATGGTCTTTCCCTGAGAAAGTCTCACCAAGCTACTGCAGAGTAGAGCAAAAAGGGTGCTGCTAACTGGTGCTGCTACCAAAGAAAAAGCCAAACGTCTCTTGCCCGACCTGACAGAGCTAGCTCTTAGTCTCTTAGCGCTCGCCGTAGAAGCCATCCCCGAATGTGATTCGTCAATTGACCTCTTTCTGGAACCCTGTCATCTGGATCAATGATCAATCCCAGCTTTTCCCTCTCTCTTACTTCTCTCACTCTCCACACTTTGCTCCACCCCAGCGGCCGGCTCTCACGAAGCGGGGACGATGGGGGGGGCGTCCGCATGTCTGTTGGCGTGACCTGACTTTTCTGATAGCCGGTAGACCCTATCGAAAAGGCCGATGGGACTCTTTTCGTCTCATGTATTTTGGCCATGACACATTACTTTGGCTGGCATCGAATGAGAGATGGAACAAATGAACGGACTATGTATGTACGCCTCCTAGGAGACCTTTCTATACCCGCCTGCCTCACCAAAATCATCTGATTTGAACTCTTCGCTTGCCAAGCGAGTGGGCATCGGAAGACCCCTAGTCAACCAAGATTCCGTGTGCCAACGATGGACCCTTTCTGTGTAGGCTCTGTGTTCGTAGTGATAGTTAAGTGGAGATATCCTCACTACGTCCGGAACTGCTTCCGAGACAGAGCTTTCTTGAGCATTTATTGTTATTATTATTATCCAAGTCTCTCTCCAGTTCTGCCTTGGCCTAAGAGGGGACTCCACCGAGCTTCATTGTCTTACAATAAATCCCCGGTTTAACGCGGCTAAACAAAATCCATAGAAGTGATACGATGACCGTGCCGAGGTGTCTCTCACCGTCAATCTCTACAGTCTCTTGACTCCCCAGACACATCTTGTAGTACAGAAAGAAGCCAGTTGTGGAACGAGACCGTATGTGTCCTCCCAAAGCCAGCATCCACAGCCCGGGACTTTTTGTGAACCATGGCCTGCGGGATCCGGTGGCTCGGGAATACAAGTTTGTGATTACGCTGGCGTCCCCCTTGTGTATCATGTACTGTAGTCTGTATTTGTACCCCGTCTTGGAGCTGAGTCGGCAGGGTAGCTCTTTCGATGAGGGGTGTGAGGGGCACACAAAAAAGAGACATCATGGACCCCTCCGTCTCGCCCTCTCTCTCCGGCTCCCTCTCTGCCACATCCCATCCCGGCCCCCCCATTTCGAAGAAGACAACACACCTGGCCTTCTTTCAACGTCATTTGCATCCAGTGGGGGAATGCCATTGGACAGAGCCACCCCCGATCTGAACGGAAGATAGAGGAGGGTTCGTCAGTGTTGATGAAGGTTCACCGGACCTTTGACGCTGGGGGGATGAGGTCGGCCGGCCGCTGACCTCTCTTGGAAACCTGAGGCCGCATCACATTATTTTACCACCCAGACCAGACCGCTGTTCTATCATTTCCCACCAGCTGAAGGAAGGGCCCATTGAGTTTTCACCACCACGGCTCGAGTCCACCTCGGCGGATCCAGATCCAAAGCCTGGAGCAATCTTCTCGTTGTCCGGTGCTCGTTTGAGCAGATCACGACGACGCGTCCTTTCCAATAATGAGTAGGCAGATCGATTCCATTCAGGACACAGCCCGCCCATATCAAGCGGCCCATGACATGACCTCCCTTCCCGGGTAACTCTTTTCTGATATCAGAACAACTCCAAAGAGGAATATCGATAAAAAAGAGGGGCACGCTTGCGTCTACCGCAGTAGGTGGCTCATGTATGACAGCAAAGACATCTGCGCCCAGGCCCTGCGGCGCTGCTGTAAGGCGAGATGCACCAATCGAACCTCGCGTGGTCGCCATGGGTTAGGTCAGTCTGCTGGGATAATCCACCGCGGACTCGCAGTAGGCAGACATGTCTCTGTCTCTGTCTTTCTCAGCCTGTTCGCCCACGCCTAAGCTAGGTATCCGTACACACGCCTACACCTACTACACACCCACAGCTCGCGTCGATCTAGCTTCTCTGTGCCTTTTTTGCCGGCTCAGGGCTGGACTGGACAACCTGTCTCAAAATTGTCTCTGCCTTGTGTCTCAGACCTGCCATCCCAAGACAAGCATCCAAGTTTCGGTTCTTAGCCGTTCCAACTACCTAGCCTCCAAAAGACATACGCGTGGACGAACAGCCGGCCACACGAGAATGGCACGGCAGAGGCATCAAAGTGGCGTGTTACAGGGTCTCCAATGTCTCTCTAGATTGGTCTGGTTCTTGGGAGGGCGGGAGAATTGATGATGTGCATTTGCTCGCCGCCGCCGCCGCGTCGTGGCGCCGAGAAGCCAGAATAAACAGCAAAGGGAACCCTTGCTTTCGGAAGATGCGTAGTCCCGACCGTTGAGCGCTGTTTTTTTAACGAAACATGCTGTCCCATTTGCGGTGGGATGTTCAAAGGTCAACACTGGATGCCGACTGGTTCTGCGTGCTCGGCCAGCTTGCTCTGGCCTGGATCAGAAACGGTTTGTTCGAAATGTATTACCTCCTGCTGCCATAACACCTCCCTCTTCCTCCCAGTAAACAAGTTGCATGCCGATTCGCGTGCTGCAGCTGGCGCACGTTCAAATGCAACTCGACCTTTCGGGAGACCCAGCTTGGGAGCTTTCAACATGCACAACCACACAAACTCTCCTGCGCCGCCGCCATATTGCCGTGATGAGTTGTTCAAAAGCTCGCACATACGACCCCTGTCTGAGATCTCTTCGCCCCGGGCTCGAAGCTGCAGGCCCGTCGTGTTCGCTCCTCCATCCCACCCTTCCTCATGATTGGGGCCGTCAGTAAGCATGCATGGCACGTTTCCCATCGCCGAGTTCATTTCGGAAGGTCTCCGCCATCACAGTGCCCCTTTTCGCGCGGACCACGTGATACGGGATTCCGACGTTCTTCCTCCATATATACATAAGGGGGGGCGGTCGCCTTCAGGCGGCCTGGTGGCGGGCTAGAATCCCTGTTTCGACGCAAAGTATGCCTTCATGTCGTCGACGCTTTCTTGGGGGATGGTGTAGACGGGGTGGATCGTCCCGACGCGGTCCTCCTCGTTGAATACCTGTGTTCCTTCGGCACAAGGCGACGCCACCCACTTTGGCTCCGATAGGATCGTCTCATCTTCGTTGACATATGTGAGATCCCACTGGTGCTGTGCAGAGCTCAGTCCTGAGAGGACGTAGCAAGTGTGGTACGCATCCGACGGCCTATCACTCGAGTCAGCGACGAACCATCCAGATCAGGAAGCTTCTATCATCATCGCCGTCTCACCTGCTGGGCTTGTCGCGGAGACCGCCACGTTTGGATCGGTCTTGACCGCAACACAAGATGTATCGAATTAGCCCCTCACGACTGTAAAGACTGCCCTGATGGGGAGTGAAGCTCGCCTCGTTCGGTTGATCCTCGAGCTCGATTGCGCCTTTCAGTACAGCGTCGATCAAGGGCCAACACCCACCGACCCAATGGCTGTAGCAGCCGTCGACGAGCTTATTTGTGCGGCCACTGAAGCCACCCTCCGGAGCGTACTGCCGTGACGAGAGCCAAGAGATAAGTCGTGGCACGTCGAGGTATCTGTCATCGGACGAAGCAGTCAGTATGCGCTGCTTTCATGTCAACCCCTCAGTGGACGAAGGCGGCGGGATACGTACTTGGGAATGATGCGATGCGGAGTGTCCAGGATCGAGAGGCAGCCCAAAGCGCAGAAAGCATAGGCTCCATGCGCTTCACCATCCGGCTTTCCCGATATTCCACCCTCAAATGTTTGGCCTATTGGTGAGCGACGGCGAGGCAACCAGGCTAAGGTATGACTTACATCTACGTACATAATCCGCCAATCCAGTGAAGAGCGTGGACCGCTCAGGCGTCCACGCCGGCGAGTCGGTTGAGAGGTCCAGAGGCAGGTTCAGTAGGGTTACAATTACGGCTGCACAGTATGCTCCCCTAGAGACCTGTCAGAACTATGGCGCAAACCGAGAGAGGGAGAGGATTGAGGAGGGGGGGCTGGTGTCAACATACCTGACATCTACCTCTCCGCCCAGGGCCATCTGAATCCCGCCACTGGGTTGCTTGAGAGAGCAGAGCCATTTCCACATGGCTTTCCTATCTATCACCTCGTATGCATCCTCACCGCCGACGATGGCGAGGGCGAGAACAACAGCGTAGGTTGTGGCAAGGTGAGAGTCCTGTCCGTGACCGCCTCCGATGCCACCGGAGGGGTTCTGCATTGTACGCACTGTCTTGATCAGGTCTTCTCGGTACACTGCCGTGTCGTAGCCGAGCAGAGCCAGGGCGTTGAGGGACCAATACAGGAACCATGGCCGACTCGCGTCGGCAGCCACATACGGGGCCGGAAATCTCCCGAGCTGCTTCTGGAGAAATTTGATGTGGTTATCACGGAGCAGTGAGGGTACTCCTTGGGCGTTGTGATCGATGTCGCTGTCCGTGGCAGCCAGCAGCGGGACACACTCCCGCACCGTAGCATCCTGAGCGTATGAAGTGGCCGTCGGAAGCGTATCGCGCACAGGTGGAGACGCCGTGAAAAGTTCTGGCACGGTACTGTTCGTCTCGATTCCTTCGATTCCCAAATCACTCAGGTCGTCGATAAACTCCTCGTCCACATCGCTGTCGGAGCGTTGCGGCGACCCGGTCTGGGCCGATGCAGCCATATTTGCTGCGCGCTTGATGAAGGTGACTTTGGTACGGCGCTTGAGAGGTTTGATGCGGGGTCTCATCTCACTCAGAGGCCGATTATGGGATGCGAGCTTGGTGAGACGTCAAGAAAGATTCAGACTCCCATGTTTCAACGATATTCGCAGAACCTGATGTTTGAAACCCAAAAAGATGTCTCAGTTGGAAAGATATTCGCTTTGGGCAGTAATGATGGATGAGATGGGCTCTTCCCACTTGCCATAATGCGCCTAAGAGAGGAAGTCCATAAAGGTGGGGCTTGTCTAGATTGATTGGCTGTTTTCGTCTCCCGCCATTAGTAAGCCCCGGATCCCTCATCACCAGACATCCCATCACGATGTCCATCTTCAACGACATCCCATGGAGTCTCTGGCCGAGATGATGGTAAATTGCCTCTGAGGACGCAAGACACCCGTAATATACCCTTTTTGTTGAAGTAGTGGTGTGAAGACTCTTCTCTACACAAGAGCAAATGATTCATCTGTCGACCGCCCGGACGACGGCTGCCCTCTTCCTCTCGAATGTCTTAGAGACTTCCAACGTAGGGGTTCGGAATCGACCATAAGAGAACGGGAGTTCTCGGGCATTTCAGATAATAATTCATCTTTGAGTGTTGCACAATTGCCGGTTCGTCCAAGATCAGAGGCCCCTGAGCTTAGCCGTCGAAATAGAATGGAACTACTCGCGTGGAACAGCATACCCAATTTCATTACTCACTTGTCTGTATGCTCTTCAGAAATATATCAAAGCGAAGTCAAGTCAAAGGAGCTCACTTTGAATAAAAAAAAAGGTTGGAAATCGTCTAGGCTTTACTCCAGGCCTTTGGATATACTCGGGGGCCACTTGACTCTCGCAATCCCCTGATTCGAAGCTTTTGTTTTTCATTATCAGGGTCTAGATCAACTGACATTCTCGAATTCCTCAAAAGACACTATAACTTTCTTTTGTAGCTCGAAGTTTCTCAATTGGGTTCGATGGATGAACCGTCTTAAAACGCCGCCATATGAAATATTGAGATACCGCCATATCCATAGCTTCAATGGTGGGTTCTAGGAGCCATTCATGGGGCCGTTGAAATGTGATTAGGGCCTTACTCAGGTCGGTAATGGGTACAGCCTAAGATAATATGGGATGATCTGCCAGGGAAATTTTCCAGTTTGGGTTGCGGTTTACCTACTTGCATAGGTGCAATGTCGAGCTTGCGCCAATGAACTAGTCAAGGCCACCCATATTCAGCATGTTCCATTGAGTAGTCACGATCACCAGGTTTGTATTGGAAGTGTATGCTGTAGATAAATCGATGCTAACAGATCCAAAGATTCTTCATCGAAGGTTGCGAACGTTTAGGTATGGATCAAGCTGAAGAGACAGGTGAGACCGCTGAAACCTTCGATAGACTGACTGCAGTTTTCACCCCGAACTCTGTCGTGTTCTCAACGACGAGGTCAATGTTTGTTCCCATGACTTGGATATGTTTCATTGGCTCATCGTTAGTCTATAGGACGTGCTTGAGTAATCGTGGCCAGGTTTTGCAAGCCACTATTCAGGGCCGTCTCTGCATGATTCAGAGGACCAAAGTGATGATCCATAGCCCTTGACAGACTCATACCACAGAATATGTCTCAATCAACATTTCATTCCATCTCAAAACCCTTAATAGAGTTGTTCCGCCCTTAATCCATGAATGTGATTTGATCTTCACACCACAAAAGCCAGAGCCACCACAGCGACATGGCCATACTCTGCAAACCGTCCATACTGAGCAGAGCAAGACGGGCCAACAACCATCAAACCGAACCAATCTCGAGCAGCATCAACCCTCAAAGACTAGATAGTCTGCGGATACCGCGGCAAACATACCCATCATGCAAGAATAGAGTTTCCAAAATCCCAAACAGACGTCTGCAAAGCGGCAACTCTACTCCATCCGATCAGCCGCTCGGGCCAGGGACAAACTATGTTCGCTATAAACCTCAAATCCGACAACGATGTCTATTTATACACGACATCTAGCGGTTTCATACCACTATAAAATCTAGGGGAAGTGTCGGATGAAGTCGTTCTCGCAAAAGTCCATCCACATTCTACATATCCTCTTGGTGTATAGAACCTCGGCGGGTCGAATTCACGGGAGGACTTCGAGCTCAGACACGGCCGACTCGACTGGACTCGAGGGACGAGAGGATGGAAACACGAGGTAAGTTTGCAGATGAACGGAGATGAGAAGTAAATGTGACATAGCTATTTTGCAATAACGGGGATGGATTAGCTGGATCCAGGTCCGGTGGTTGAAGGGATGTTATGGAAACAGACATTGACAAACTGAGCCACCTCCGATGATCCCACGACCATCTTCAAAGGCACCTGGAACCAAGGTGAAGACAACCATGAGACCTGCGAACAGGAAATGAATGAGCGAACTACTCAAAGGGCGAAGACGAAACTTAGTTGCGAGTAACATCATCAGAGTCACGAAATCAATTGGAAGTCAACGCTCTGGACTGGCAAAGCATTAGGTATAGCTACTAGCCATGATGCTCAACTCAACGTACGACCACGAGCATAACGCCCACAGCCCAGGTCGCTCCACCATGTTGGACACCGGCCTCGAGAGCTATCTAGGTCTTCGAAGGCAATCGGGCTGCCACTCACAAGGTTGACTCATCACAAGCCCAACCGACATTTCTCGGATGCCTGGATCATACCACCGGGCCTCTCGGGCTTATTTTCTCTGGAATGAATTGGAAGCGCATAGTGCCGTGTGAGAATGACGCAACATCCATTTCTTTCAGTTCCATGACAACACACAAGTGTGGACAAATCTCGAGTCAATTCACTTCAATTAGCACCGAGCAGACAAATAATAGCTGCCTTGATGGTGTGACTAGTTACAAGCCTGCCCACTCACACCACCTGCGGCATACAAGTTTTTCCGCATAGTGTATAGTGAAAGAGAGAGAGAGCGGTCAATAGCGCCTGGGATTACCATTGGAGCCAGCGCAGCGCTGTGCGTCCCTGCATGGCCAAGGAAGCAGACAGACGTTCATGTGTCAAGAATCCTGAAGGAAAGGTATGCAAATTATCTTCAGCAGCATTCCAGCTGCGCGGAGAATAGACCTTGCAAATACCTTCACAAAACCCACCACACTGGGTATTTTGGTCTGTTTCTGAATGGAATGGTGGCATTCTTGAATCCCTTTGAGGTGGCTGCGCAGCTTGGATCACACACCACTTGAGGGGGTAACAAGCGGTCAAGATCTCGAGAGATCCGAGCACCCTCACTAGAGGCGGATGGCGCCGCTATAGTTTTGAGGCCATCAAGTGATCAGACCTCGGGCTAGGTTCGGCTAGGAACGTCCTTCGATGCCAGTGCCTGGCATCGACATCGACATCTCTGTCGCCAAGTTCCCGGGAAACTAGCAATATCGTGAGTCCGTCAAGTTGGTCGTCAGAGAGACAAATCGCAGTCGTAAGTTGGGCAGGGCTTGGGAGAGAGTTCCGTGCCCCGCGTCCGACGGAGGAGGGGTTGAGGAGGGGTTAGCGACCCTCAATTGGCCCCATCTTCAATCAATTGAGGGTTTGCGTCTCGCCTTTGACTTGACCAAGTATCAACTTGAGTCCCTACCATGGAAATCAATCGAGACGGTTCACACGGATCAGCCAATTGTCGATTGTCGGGTACCAAACCAACTGTTCTCAAGCCAATGCTCCGAGGTGACAGCCACGAGTCTCGACTAGCCTCCTGTCTCTCATAACGGCCCAAAAGCATTACTTGCATCACGTAATGCAAGGTAGATAGTAGGCATAGAGAGTCGTCGGGCGAATCCCGCCAACGGCCAACATGGGATGCGGCATGATTGGTTGACGGCCCTACCAAGGCGTTTTCTTTCAGACGAGAATCTCACACCGCACATTCGAAATCCAGGGGATGGCTTGCAGCAGGTTTCTTTTGCCGTACAATGGGCATGGGGGATGGCGGGAAGATACAACTGTGCCTGAGCAGCCCCTTGCCGGTTCCCCTTGGCCTGCACCAATGATCGTGGGGAAAATGACTCTCGCCCGCATTGCTGCCGGACAATTCGTTGGCCCTCTGCTGCTCCGCTCAGTGTCGGTCGAATTTGGCTGGCATGTTGGTATGTGACTGATTCACTCTGGCACGAGGTTCGCATCTCAAACGAGACAAACGGCTCTGTAGTATCGAACCCATAGCTTCGTACAACATCGGCCTCGGCGGATATATACTTCATGCCACTTGTCATCGCGATTCTCTAGAAACCCATCAAATGTCCGGTCCGTGTGGGGTCCGGCGGCGTCATGGCATTCCGTCGAGGAGGCTCATAGCTAGAGAAACATGAACGGTCAGAAGTATAGTATGCGAGATGATGTGCAAGACGTTATGCCATGAATGCAAGTATCCGAGAAGAGGCAAGTGGCACAACTCGCCATCAGAGACGGTGCCTTTCGGAGTGGACATGTTGGACCAACTACAGACTGAGATGCCTGGAGCCTGGCGTCTTTTTGATAGAGAAATTGGCGTGTGCAGGGTCTGGCCATGGCCGTGAACGGGTGTACTGGGAACAAGCGACATCGATCGGGGAACTGACGCAGATCTGATGTGCCTTATTTGCAGGCAAAGCCAATTGGAGAGACGTGCGTTCGCGGCAATGAAGGGCTAAGAGAGACTCCCGCTTGCGACGTTGATCGGTTGGTCGAAGCAGGAGATAATGGGATGCCTTTCGGAGTCGGGATATACCTTGGTTCGCAACAACCTTTCAATATCGCGACGCACCTCCAGACATTATCCGTGATACGGGTGGGGAATAACTCGTCGTGATAAGTCGCCGCTGGCCGCTGGCCGTACCGCGTCAAGCTCGGCTCCTCGTTGAACATGCCTGGACCCTGTACTGCGACTTGTTTCGTCATCTGCAACTGGTTCGTTTGACAGATTGAGGGCTGTGCACCCATTGCCCCTCCTCGTTGTTCGAGCTAGAGGAGGGAGATCTGCTGAAGCCTCGCAATGGTCTTTGCACCGACTTTCCACGATCCACCTTGTACTGTGAGTTTGTGGTTGGATATTCAACCAACCACCGGGAGGGTAACAACCGTGACAGCAGGCCGTCGGACCATTGGCACACGATTCAGCGATCCGCCAGGAAGAAACTATTCCCGCGAGATATT